GAGAATTCAATCTTCAGGATCTTGCAAGAAAACATTATCTTCTAAACGCAGAATTTTAAATTTATCATCAGAACGTATGTAAATATTTTCTCTAACGATTACTAATGTTCAATTTTATATACTTGGTGATTATCACTATTATTATCATTTTATGTAGTACGAGCACTTGTGTATCATGCTTATGAATGATTGCATGCATGCATGGCATGATACCGCAGTTGCTCATCTCTAGGTGTGCAACAGCCTATAAGCAGGATCTTGCGGATTTTTTATTAAAACAAAATTTAGATTATTGAAATAAATAATTAACTAAATAGAACATTATTTTTTTTTAAATTGAACCTCAAGGCTAGCTTTAAACTGAAATAAAGCTATTTTTTTAATATTTTTATAAAAAATATTTAGAACACTAATGATTAGCTTTCTTGGTTTCGATTATTAATATTCTTTTACTTTTTTATAAAAAGATTAAAAAAATAGCTCTATTTCAGTATAAAACTTCAATTTAAAAAAAATTGTATGTTGTTTGATTAATTATTTATTTCAATAAATATAATTTTATTTTGATAAAATTTATAGTGATAATTATATTAATGTGGGTTCAATTTACAATATGTATTAATTATATTAGGTTATACAATTGGGTTCCATTACTTTAAAATCCAAAAGCAATTTTTAATACAATCGGGATTTTATTTTCTGGATCGGGATTTTAAGTATCAGGATTCTCTGGAGCAAACTCTAAAATTACCATTAGAAAATCTATGATCATTAGTAACCCTGACTATATGATTTTAATAGGCAGTTGAACACCCTAACAAAACATCATATACTTTTATTTATAGTTATATAGTAAAAATTTAACAATAATACCAATAAGCAATATTTTAAAATTTAATTGCTTTTTTATTTTTAAATTTCTGTGATAATTGTACAGTATTTATAATAACTTTGAAATCAAATTATTACTATATAATAAGATTCAAAATTTTACTAATAATAGTGAATTAGGATCATACTTAAAAATATTTACTGTATTAAGAAACAATTTTTGTTATTTTTATAAAAAAAAATTTTTCCTCTAAAGTTTATGTAAAACTGTTGCTTATTTATTTTATAATAATTTAGTTTTTTTATTTTTTTATTTTTATCACTTTTATAAATATAGATTCACTTTAAATAAAATACATTTTAATATAAAAGACCTAAATAGGGCTGTTATTTATTTTTCCGACGTGTCATTCTATATCCATGAACAGTTGCCCTAACAATATCACTTCCTCTATCCTTCTCAAACATTGGTTTCATTGGTGTTTCCAAGATTTTTTCAACTTTAAACAAACCATCTGCTTCTGCTTTCTCAAAAAATTCCATATCTTTGTATGCAAGCCATGGCCGATGATGTGTAAAAAACACAAGTACTTGTCCATTTTCAATTAAACATTCTTCACATGTCTTCAATAATGCAGAATGTTGAGAATGATTAAATATTAAATCAGATAAGATAATTAAATCATAATATGGTCTTTTATTCGTAGATTGTGAATTTTGTTGCGAAGAAGAAATTACATCTAGTAATGGGCCTGTATGACTTCCCCAAAGGTATCCCTAACATCAAAATTAAATTAATAAGTATATAAACAATACAATGATAATTGAATTTAAAAAATTTACCAAAATTTTTATATTAGTAATATCGCAACCATCTTTTAAAGGAAGATTCATCTGCACATTATATTTTATATTTTCAATCAAATCATTATCAGGATAATCTGTTATGACCACCTAAAAGAAAGAAAGATCACAGCCATATGAATCAATATTATTATTATCACATCTGGCTTATACAAACCAACCTTTTTCGCACCATTTAAAAAAGAAATAAATGAAGGTAGTGCACCACCAGCTCCAAGCTCTAAAACATTTTTACCCGAAACAAGATCTTTATGTTCATCCAAATACCATGAAAGACATTTACTCGCATTCCACAGTTGATGAGCCCATAATGGATGAAAACCAACTAAGCGTATATTAAAAGTTTGTGGCTCATTCGCTCTTTCTTATATTTATATATAGTATTAAGTATATATAATGAGAATAACTATAATAAGTAGATTCATCAATAATTTTTGGTAAACGACGGATACCGGATGATATATGGTCTGCTTTACGCTCAAAGGTTACAAATGTTGGTTCTGGAGGAGGAGGTCGAAAATCTTCAGGTTCCTTATATATATAATTTATAAATTTTTTTGGATATCATTAATATTTAAACAGATAAATGAACCTAAACGATAGATAAAAACCTTAAAAAGTGATAAATCATGGTCTTCCAATTCTAACTCCATTTAGAAGGGTGTCTATTAAAACTTCCGTCGAAATTCCATGGATAATGCGGTGCCGATTCACGTGATCTGTTAGAGTTAGCATTCAAGGACCCGGAAATTTTTGGAGCAAAAACTTGGCTAACGATAACGCTAATATTTGGATTTAAATCATTAACTAATAATCCTTTGGTCATGTTTAATAATCAAATTACTTTTAATTTTTGTATTTAAAGCAATTTGAGATGTTTTATGTATAAACTAATTGGTTGCGATACTCACTGAAATATCATAACTAGAAAATTGCTACAACCAAGATATATATATATATATATAAAAGGATGTTCGCATTAATGATAGGATTCTAAATTTTAGATTATATTTTATTAGTTGACTAAAATCGGCGAAATGTTATGGATGAACCTGAAATATGGCATATGGTTGAGCAAATTTCTGGAGAATATCTGAATTATTTTTATATAATGAACTACATACAGTAATTAATAGCCCTGTATAGACTTATTTAAAATTATGGTTGACTCCTATCACTAGTTGGCACTATAGTAATTTTATATGTTTTTATTATGATTTTTACTATAGTTTAATACTCAAAAGTATGTAACATCTAACAGCTAATAATGAATATCTATATTAAGATTCCATTGACTCTATGTTTTCCACGCCTTCCATTTCTTCATCCGCTGGAATTTCATTGAACATGTATTGCTCCTGATATTCTCTCAAATAATTCACAGATCTTTTTTCATCCAAAAATAATTTATATACACGTTTGACATCATTTGCATCTACAGTCGTTGCCTGTTATAAAAATATGGAAAATGTTAAGTACCGTATATGTGGGTATTATGCGATTTCCGACCAATTTCGCCTTTAACTAATAACTACTAGTTTTGATCAAAGTGTGATATCACGGGATCTAGTAATTCGATTTGAATGATTTTGAATTATCTCGCTGAGACGATTCGAATGTACCAAAATTATCACAATCTGACTACTAATCCCGAGATATCACGGCTTGATCAAAACTAGTAGTTACTAGTTAAAGACGAAATTGGTCGGAAAATCGGCATAATATAACTTAATGATCTTTAAAGATAAATATTAACTTTGCGTTTTTTTGCGACAAGGTGAGATGTAGTGATTAGATTAATAGCATATCTCAGCGAAGTTTCCACTCCAATTTTTGTTAAAACGTCTCGTGCTTCGTCAGTCATTGAAACATCTTCTTCCTCACACCTTTTGTCGAGGTAATAAAATAAGAAACAAAATCTTTACAAGATAGAATATAGAATGCTATATTACCTAATAGTTATAATCTTTTTTATTGACTCTTCATCATATGGTGTTGTGCTGATGATCAACAATCTATCCAACAAGTCTATTGGAATGCCGTGAGGGCTTTTATATTTCGTACCACGAATACGTGTAATACCACGATTTGAAGCCATTATGACAACTGGTGCTCTTTCATCCTCAAGAGCTCGATTTAGAAAAGAAAAGCATTCAATGTCGAGCATATGAACTTCGTCAATAAAAAGAACCTAAACAATTACAAATATGTAAACCATGCATTTCACTAAGTTGCATCACCGATAATAACTTACGCCAGGAACGATTTCTGCTTTTCCCTCTTCCCTCCATTCAGTAACCTTTGTATTTATTTGTTCTCGCACTTCAGACTTGATTTCACCAGTATCACCTATCAACGAAGATAAATATAGATTTTCTACTATTTGTTAAGAATTTTTATAAACTCACCTGAAAATAATGCCAAAAATCCTTGCGTTCGACTATTGATCACATCAATTTCGTGTAACGAAACTGTATGAACCACTTCTCTACGCTTTTGTAGTTCACCTTCGGGGCATTGTACAAATTTTGTCTACATAAATATTGATGATAAACATGATTCTGATTTTATGAAAAATAATTTAATAACTATCACAAAATGATCTCTTGTAGATCTCTTGCAATAGAGGTGACACCATTAATAAAATGTATTATCACTCGTATTTTCGCGTAATAACGCTCACATACGCTTTATTTTGAGCATATGTGCATTATTTCGAGTACGCGCATGCCGTTATTTTGAGATAAAGGCCGATTCTGCATAAGATGACATTTATGTGATTTGCTAATTAATATCAAATAATTCAATATGTAACCTTATATGATTTTACACAGAATGCGCGTTATTTTGAGCCATATATGCTATTTAAGAAGCATGATTTTCTGAGCAACGTCCCTACCCATTATTTCGCGAAAATACGGTAATTTATATAGAATAGCATCACCTATATTGTAAAAACTTACGTCTGCTCCCATTGCATCATAATCCCTAGCGCGTGTAAAGGAACGACCTAGTTTTGATATCTTTCCGGACGCTTTGTCCAATGTAATAACGTCACTATTTATATTCATGGGCCATATAATATACGAATGAATGTAATCTTTCTTTCCATTAGAAAAAAAATTCGTTTATAGTAAAATAATTTTTACCCTGCCAGAACCTTCTCTTTATTTAACGCATCTACCATTTTATGACCCAATTCATATATAGTTTCCATATCAGTCGTTTTTAAAGTGAGTTTTCCGGTTTTCGTACCCTTTTTATTTAGAAAAAATAATAAAATTAGTCCAAATGCGCTTTATACAAGTGCAATGAAAATATCAAAATTTTATCCTTACACCTGTGATAGAACGGTCAATTTGAATTTCAACTACTTCTCCTTCTATAATTTCAGCTTCTTCTTTAATACGAACGCCAATAGAGCGACGAAATGCTTGTGTAAGTGCTTCAGTTTTAGACATTTCAAGAGAAAAAATTTCAGAAGCTGCAAGCATCGTAAAAGGTATATCTTTTCCTAATGCTTGAGCAATACCTATAAACAAACTTTAAATTAAGAATTCTAATTATTAAAGGCGAAGATAATTTTAATGACGATCAAAGTTACCCATCGCAATCGCTGTTTTTCCTGTGCCAGGTGGTCCAGCCATTAAAATCGCTCTACCAGCAATTTTACCCTCTTTTATCATTTGTAAAATAACGCCAGCTGCTTTGCGTGCTTTAACTTGACCAACCATACCCTGCGATACTTGACGAGGCTCTAGAGATTCGTCAAGACCAAGTCCTCTAATATGTGAATGCGCGCCTATATAATTTAATGTTTTCAGAATATTTATATTTATTAGTTGAAAATTTATTTTCTTAAAAATAAAATAAAAATAAAAGACTACCAATGCGCTCCATTTTTGTTACATCCTTAATCTCTGGTGTTGTCGTGATTGTACCTGCCTGACATTCGTCTTATTGAGAAACTAATAATGTCAATCGCGACTATACACAGCAAAAGAAACTTAATGTACCATTGTAAGAATTCAACGCGTTAACGAACACTCTCCGATAGTTTACTTCCAAATATGTAAGCGCTAATAAATGGATGCCTATGTTACACCTAGATCCTAGATCTTACTGCCCCGTTCACGCCAGGGACGATTTCTGCGGTTGTTGATTTATTATTTCTGCGCGCCAACTTTATTACCGTTAATTGATTGTCTACCCATTCTTCCGAGAATATCCGATAAGCTCAGCTAAAATACGCAATTTTGATTGGATCTCAATCAAAATTTTAGGTTCTGCTAATGAAAATTTTACGATCAAAGGTTAAATTAAATTCTTGGTCTAGAAGGCTTATCGTTATGATATATACCGGACAACTCGGACAACATTCGGATAAAAATTTTATTATCGTTATGACCTGCTTTAAGCCATTAGATCAGTTTTAATAAAAAAAATGTTGGGAGGGAAGGCAACTATCCGAAATTTCCCGATAATGCTTGAATTAATGCTGGCCAAAATTAATACTGCATTAACTCCAAAGTAAACCTGGTAACTTAAAGATTTAGGTATTATTATTTGAAACGCGCTATTCCACGTTATAAAAAAAAAACTTCCACTGACACCATGGAAATTAATGGCGAAAATGAATCCGACGGTTTTTACATGATTGTACGTATTTGTCTTCGTTTCAGGAAGCCAAATGTTAGCATCATCGCTTTGCTTGTTAGGATCTATTTTTTTTAATCATACTTGTTCGATGTACAGGAGGAAATTGATATACCTTTTGAAGAAGAAATTCTACGTAATCCATATACTCTAAAATCCTGGTTTCGATATATTGATCATAAAGTAGAGCAACCTATCCAGCAAAGAATTTTCGTACATGAACGTGCCTTAAAAGAGTTACCAGGTTCTTATAAATTGTGGAAACAATATTTAGATCTTCGAAGAGAACAAGTCCAAGATTTAAATCCGGCTAGATATGAAAAAGAATATTTGAAGGTTAATAATTGTTTTGAGAGAGCATTGGTATTACTACATAAGGTACAGGCTAGTCACTTTTATTTTTTATTTAATTTATTTGTCAAATGATAATCTTCGTTTGTTCCACTTAGATGCCCCGCATATGGATAGATTATTGTAGTTTTCTAATGAAGCAATGTAGAATTACGAAAACTCGTAGAACTTTTGATCGAGCATTAAAGGCTTTACCAATTACACAACATCCAAGAATATGGGAGATTTATTTAAAATTCGCAAGAGATATAGGTGGAGAAACTGCTATCCGACTGTATCGCAGATATCTCAAGGTGAGATATTGTAACAATTTTTTATATTAATTTTGGAGTTTGAAATAATTATATGGTGAGTTACTTGCTTTAATATCAATGAGATTGATTTCTCTAATAAGAGCATGAGGAGCTTATAATTTTCTATGAAATGGTGCGCTCCTATGCTTTGTAACAATAAATTTACTGAAGTGCTTATGACAGTGGCTGGATAACATATAATTGTATTTTTAGTAAGAAAATACTCATAATTATATCATAAATATCACATTAGTTGGAACCAGATCATGTAGAAGAATACATCGATTTGTTACTCTCATTAAATCGGTACGATGAGGCTGCAAAACGACTCGCTCAAGTTGTCAATAATGATCGTTTCCAATCAATGCATGGCAAATCCAATTATCAGTTGTGGATGGAACTTTGTGATTTAATATGTGAGCATCCGCATGAAATTAAAAGTCTAAAGGTAGAACCAATTATACGAAGTGGAATTCGAAGATTTACAGACCAAGTGGGAAAATTATGGAATTCACTTGCAAATTATTGGATAAAGTTGCACCATTTTGAAAAGGTATTTGTTTACCAGTAAGTTTTTATAATTTGTTTATATGCGTTCAATCAACCTTTTCACATTGAATATAGGCAAGGGACGTATTCGAAGAAGGTATTAGCACTGTGATGACTGTCAGAGATTTCACACAAATATTTGATACTTATGCAAAAGCTGAAGAAGCTGTCATTGAAAAAAAAATGGAAGAGGCAGCTGAACGCACAGAGGAGGGTCAAGAAGATCCGGAACAAGATTTAGAATTAGATTTGAGATTAATGCGATTCGAACAATTAATGGATCGTAGACCATTTTTGGTAAATGATGTCTTATTAAGACAAAATCCGAACAATGTTCATGAATGGGAGAAGAGGGTTTCGTTATGGAAAGATAACCATGAAAAGGTTTGTTTACTTATCTAGAAAATTAACTTTTTTTCAATATAATAAATGAATACATTAATTCATTAAGGTTTTACCATTTTTATATTTAGATTGTTGAAACATACTCAAAGGCAATGAGAACTATAGATCCTAAGAAGGCAACTGGAAAATTTCATGAATTATGGGTTAATTTTGCTAAGTATTATGAGAAAGGAGGCGACCTTGAAAATGCACGTACAATTTTCGAAAAGGCAACCCATGTCAATTTTAAGAATGTTAACGATTTGGCTTCCTTGTGGTGTGAATATGCAGAGATGGAATTGCGGCACGAGTATGAATTTTTCAATATATATATAACTTTTTATGATTATTCTATAAGCAAAAATAGTAAATATATTTATAATTACACATTTAAGATTCTATGACAGGGCAATTGATGTAATGGGTCGTGCCACGGTTCCGCCGGCAGGAAATCCAAATGTAGATTTTCGTGATGAAGTATGAAAGAATAGATTTTTATAATTATGATAATGCAATTTTATGCACATCGGTTTTAATATCGAAATAGTTTTTTAACAATTTTATGTGTAATATACTTTTCTTGTAGTCTATACCAGTTCAAAAACGTGTATTCAAATCAATCAAACTATGGTCGTTTTACGTTGACTTAGAAGAAAGTATAGGAACTGTCGAATCAACAAAAGCTGTCTATGATCGAATACTTGAATTGAAAATAGCAAACCCACAAATAATCATTAATTATGCAAATTTTTTGGAAGAAAATAAATATTTCGAAGAAAGCTTTAAAGTAAATACTCTTTTATTCATGTTTATAATAATCAATTGTACGATTTTTTGAATTCTATTCAATTTAGGTTTATGAGCGTGGTGTTGAACTATTCAATTATCCAATCGCATTTGAAATATGGAATGTGTATTTGACGAAATTCATTGAACGATACGTACGTATATATTCAACTTACGCGATATAACATTTTAAGCTAAAATATGTTTTTCATTAATCAGTCTGGTTCAAAACTCGAACGTGCGCGAGACCTTTTTGAACAAGCTCTTGAGAAATGTCCACCAAAATACGCAAAATCATTATATCTTATGTATGGAAAATTGGAAGAAGATTATGGATTGGCAAGACATGCAATGCGCATTTATGATCGTGCAACTAGAGCGGTATCTGATGAAGACCGTTTTGAGGTAAATTAGATAATATAATTTATGCCATTTTGGTGTTATCACATCTAACTTACTAAAAAAATGCTTTTAGATGTTCAACTTTTATATTGCAAAAGCGGGTGCAAACTTTGGTGTCACATACACTCGTGATATTTATGAACGCGCGATTGAAGTATTACCTGATAAAGAAGCCAAAGATATGTGTTTAAAATACGCTGAATTAGAGCGCAAGCTAGGTGAAATTGACCGAGCGAGAGCCTTGTATGCTCATGCGTCACAATTTTGTGATCCAAGGGTTTGTATCGTTTATAAATTCTTCGCTTAATTAGTTTAATTAATCATTAACGACTAATTACGCGTTTATAGACAGTGCCATCATTCTGGCAGATATGGCATGACTTTGAGGTTAAACATGGAAATGAAGATACGTTCAAAGAAATGCTTAGAATCAAGCGTAGTGTTCAAGCTCAATATAACACAGAGGTGAGATTATGGAAAAGTTTTTTATTTCGGTATAGATTAGTTTACACACAGCCATTGACTCGAGTTTCTTTTCAAGGTTAATTTCATATCTGCGCAAATACTCGCAACTCGTCAAGCTCAACAAGCTTCTCAACAAGAAGGCGCACCTTCGAGTACCACATTAACACCAGCTCCGAATGCAATGCAACTTGCAGAACAAGAAGCCCTCCAAAACAAAGGAAGTTCTCATACTTCTGCTAGAACAATGACGTTTGTCCCGTATGTATTTCTCGAGTTTCATACGAATCCTTTATTTTGTTTAATTAGAGTTATATTCAATATTGTATCATCATATTTATGTTTTTACATAGTTCATCTACGCAAGTAGATAAGGAAAATATGTCTGCTAATCCTGATGAAATTGAAATGGATGAGGATCTTTAAGGGTAGGGGCATGTCGATCATTTTTCATATGATATTTGTGACACAACGTGATTTTTGCAAAAAATAGAAATATGCTACTAATAAACCTTTTTTCTATTGCAATTAATTTTATAATATTTTTATAATAAATAAATTAAAATATGTTCTTTATAGTAGTATAATTTTAATAGCTAAAATATTTAAAAAAAAATATACTTGTATATATTGTAAAGTTTTCCAAATTTTTTGGAGTTACATAAAATTGTTGATTTTGATTGGTTCATATCACATGATCATCATATGATAAAAAATAATACCAAGTTTTTTAAATATGATGAGTAGAGATGCGAGCTATATCTATACTGTATTATACTTTTTTTTTTTTTTTTTTTTTTTTTTTTTTTTAAAAAAAAAAAAATTTGGCAATCCTGCTTTTATTGTATAAGGAATGTGTAGCTAAGTGTCAACAACTTTTCCTTCTCTTCAATAAAAGCTCACCTGGCTGCTTAAAGATGCCCAGATGCGATCTGCCATAGCAATAATTCACTTCTCTCTAGCATTTAATTTACTAGATGACTCACTAAAAAATCACTGAAAGCTTATTGCTAGCTTTGTCAAGATCGCCTTTTTTTTTAACATTTTTTCTTTTTCAAAGAGGCATAGGAAATAAAAGAAATAAAAAAAAAAACAAAAAGAAAATGAATACAACAAAAAAAGAAAAAACAGAAAATTATAGTAAAATAAAAAAAAAACAAAATCAAATATGAAGAGAAATATAAAGAAAAAAATGCAAAAGAAAAAAAAACAAAAAAGACAGCAAAAAATTCTGTTTTTTAGCACTACTATAACCATATCTGATTAAAGTAAAAATTATATAACAACTACAACAATTGTATATCTCAATGTAAAGCAGGCTTTAATATACAGTAAAATAAAAAAAAATCAAAATCAAATATGAAGAGAAATATAAAAAAAAAATGCAAAAGAAAAAAAAACAAAAAAGACAGCAAAAAATTCTGTCTTTTAGCACTATTATAACCCATGTCTGGTTAAAGTAAAAATTATAACAACTACAACAATTATATATCTCAATGTAAAGCAAGCTTTAACATATATACTATCCGACTATCGACCCATTTTAGATATCTTATTAACCAGAGACCCCAATCCAAGTTATATGAAATAGCATTGTATTTACAAGCAGTATCTGAAATTCAATTTTTAAATTAGTTGTAGGCTACAATCAATTGAATATTTAATCAAAATTTATATACGGAATTTGCATATATATTTCAGATTTTGGTTGCAAAAATTTAAAACTTTGTTGCAATTTGCAGACTCCACAACCCAATTTTAGACACTGTCTACAAGTAAACAAGACATGTAATTAAATTCTACTGAGTTTATCTAAATTTGGAATATAAACAAAGCCAATTTTTTGGAGGGTAAGCCAAATCTCCACTTTTTGTAAAAAATTTTGAAAGACTAATAAAAAAGCGGAAGTAAGTAAGAGAAAAGTCACTTGGCCAAGTAAAAGAGTATAGCTTAAGAATAACAAGTTCTTTACTATTCCTTAGTTATTTAGCAACAGAATACTTCAGCGATAGAAGAAAACTATATTCCTCACAAAAATTTTATATACAAGAACACATTTCTCTAGCTTGTTATCTTGTATAAAGATACTTTTAGCTTACATGTTGAATATATAAAGGAGTTCTTATAATTGCATAAAAGATTGATCTTTATAAAAACTGCTTTGTTGTCTATCCACTACAGATCTTTTCTACTCTCCAGTATTCAAATTTAACTTTTCTTTCATAGAAAATTTTGGTTTAAATAATTGTCAGAAAAGTTGTATATCTTTAATTATTGTTTTTTTTTGTTTTTTTTTTAACAATCATGTTATATAGTAACTTTATTTTTATATAGATTTTATATTTTTATTAATATGAGGCCTTTCTGGTTCTAATAATAGTAAAATCATTAATGTTGAACCAATAGTTTCTAAGATATATATATCCAAAGTTAGTTAACTTTCATTTACTTTAAAAAAAAAACTATCAGTCTGATTTTAATAATTTTACTACTATTAGAACTAGAAAGGCCTAATAAACAACTTTTATTAAAATCAAAAAAAGAGTTTTCTTAATAACAATATCTCTTCTGAAGCACTTCTTTAAATTTTTAGGGGGTGGTATTAGCAAAAGTGAAGAGTGAAAATAGCAATTCTCTAAATATATTGTATAAAGTACATATTAAAAGAAAATCTTGTATATAAATAAATATTAATTTTATTTCTTCAAATTGTCATAATATCTAACCAGAGTAATTATATTTTTTTAAAAAATATTTTGTATCATTTATATTTAGTAAACATAGTTTTGAAAGCTTTTCAATACATCTATATTTTTGAAAGTGCTTAAGAACCCAACTTATAAAAGATATACTAAATCTAAGTGTTTGGTAATTTTTCAAAATGATAGGTCTCTAAATTTTTTAAAAATATTTTCCAGCAAAAATGCTTTGAAAATATTATAATTCTGTATTCTACTAGAGATAAAATATTTGTAATATTTACAGTATATTAGTACTTGATCTTTATATATATATATAAATTTTATTGAATCTATTACTGAAATCACAAACTTAAGGGTAGAGTTAGAGTTTTTAAGATTCTTTATACCATATTATACAATTGGTATAATATCTATATTATACATAAAGAGTATATATATAATATCATAATTAAAACCAATTTAACCAATTAAATTGTTTTATTTAAGGACATGAAAATTCCCAATTTAAATAGCTAATTTTTAGAAATTTCTAAAAGATTCTAAACCATATTAAACTATATAGAAGCAAAATATTGATAATACTATATTATTTGTGAACTTCAACACACTTCTTTGAAATTTTGAAAGTATCTGACTTTACAAACCACTTTCCATATTCCTGCCGGGTTTTTTGGTATTTTTCTTAAAATTTTTTTCAAAATGTGGGAAATTCAGCATACTCTCTACAAAGGATCGATATTGTTTACATAGCCAAATTAGGAATGGCTAAATTACAAGAAAGTTACGCTACTACACATCTAAACAACAATGAATGACATGCAATGGGTTTGTAGGGTAAACAAAAAAAATTTTGTATTCCTCACGTAAACAACCTATTTTAATACCAAAGTAAAGTAAAGGTGGAGATTGTTTTATGGAGTATTAAATAATTTTTTAAGCCTTGCACTGGCACAATTAGTATTGTTATGTTTATATTTTTTTTTTTGCCCTTTCTTTTTTATATCTTTTTTTTTTTTTGTTTTTTGTATTTGGTTTTCGTTTAGGTCTTGTAGTACTTCCCCTTTTTTTTTACTATTCTTTTTTTAGTTTAGTTTTTTTTTAGTTACTTGTTGTTCTTTGGGCAAGAATTATGAAATCCTTTTGCTCTGATATTTAAAAGAGGAGGGATTTAGAGAAATTAGCAGTCATGACAAGCCATAAAACCATTCGTAGATTTATTTATCTACTTAAATAGCGGGAGAAATAAGTAATAAAATAAACTCTACTATAGCAGGTTAAACATACAGTAAGTACACATTTGATATAACCAGGTTAGTTAACACTTGTAATTTAAATAGTTGGGTATGATGTGTTCAATAAGATTGATAAACTCGTGTAGTTTGTTTATTATAGCCTAATAAAGTGGAGGCATGACTGCCAAAAGTTAAAAAAAATAAAATAATACTATATAATATACAGTAGCATTATGATACTATATTATACTACTATTTCTATTATAATAAAAACCCTAGATAGGGTGTATATAGATCATTTTTAATAGTAATCATGTTGTAATCATATGAAATCAGATAATTGACCAATCAAGATTGTAAACAACATAGATTCAACCAATCATAATTAACAATTTTTATACAACCTAAGTAAATTTGAATCAATCTAAATAAATTTTATTAATATATGAAGATAGATTTTTTTAAATTATATGATGTTTAAAATTTTACTATAACAAATGCGAAGCTTCAAATTACATACCACAAAATTTTGATGAGTATTGATTATAACTTCAAAAAGTTTTATTAGAAATGTATTTTTGCTTTCTATATAAAATTTTATTGTACTACATAAATCATATGAAAATTGATCCCCGAGCAATCTATAAACAGCTAAGGTTTTTCAAAAATCTTAATATATTTCTAAAAACAGAAAAGATCTACAGAAAAATAGTTAAAAATAAGCATTAATATTACTAAATATAGAA